TCTCATGGATCCTCTTCCAATGTGTCTTTCCCTAACTACAAAGAACTGAACTTTCCTCTAATCTGTGACTGATTGTGAAAACCCAAATTTCCCATGGGTAACAGAAGCAGACACATCCCCTCTCTACAAGACCTTGGCTGATGGGGGATTTCCCTCATCCCACCTCCCTGCTGAGGGCAGGTGGCCCCGGAAACTACAATCATTAACCAGGCTCTTACCTGATTCTTCTTTCTTCTCAGTGATTTTTATCACAGTCTCCTATTTCCCTCTTCAATTCATTTTGCCCCGAAACCTTAGCAGCAGCACCTCCATTTGTGTGTGCATCTTTTGCTTTCTTTCTCCCCAGACGTGATTTAAAGTAACTGAGCAACAATCCTCATTCTTTAGGTCGATACTAAGTATTGATTTTCTGTGCTGCTTATAATGGAGAGGGACTCTCAAAAGCAGCTTTCCAAATACACTCTCCACTTATGTCAGTGAACTGAGAGCAGGACTCTTTCTGTCCTGTTTAAGAGCCATGAAAGCTTGAGTTGCCCACAGACTTCCCAAGGAGCAGTAAGTTTAGAAAAAGTAAAATGCATGCAAGGAGTTTTTCAGAAGTACTGTACTGGTTTTGTCTGGGATAGAGTTAAATTTCTTTAATTATAGCTCATATGGTGCTGTGTTTTGGATTTGTGACCAAAACTGTGGATAACACACCCACGTTTTAGCTCCTGCTCAGCTGGGCTTGCACAGTGTCAAGGTCTCTGCTTCTCACTGTGCCCCGCCAGCGAGGGGCTGGGGGGGCACAAGGTGCTGGAGGGGGCACGGCTGGGACAGCTGACCCCAACTGCCCAAAGGGCTATTCCACACCATATGATGCCGTGCTCTGCAAGAGCAGCTGGGGGAAAGAAGCAGGCAGAGGGGCCATCGGAGTGATGCCATTTATCTTCCCAAGTCACCGGTACGCGCGATGGAGCCCTGCTGGGATGGCCGAATGCCTGCCTGCCATGGGAAGGGCTGCATGAACGCCTGGCTCTGCCTTGCAGGCAGCTCTTGCTTCACCTGTTAAGCTGGCTGCATCTCAACTCATGAGTTTTTGCACCTTTAGCCTTCTGATTCTCTCCCCCATCCTACTGAGGGGGTGAGTGAGCAGCTGGGGGGTGCTCAGCTGCCTACCAGGGCTAACCCACAACAGCTGACCTGCATATTTCACTTGTTCAATCTCCACTTTCCTCCCAATTTACATTTCCACCTAACATTGCTGCAGTGCACAGACTTGTACACTCCGTATGTGCATCACAACTTAATCTAAACCTTGAAGCTGTCAGCTTGAAACTATCAGCTACCTCCTGCACTGTATCTACTACAATGTCTGTTGAGTCACTTCATAATTCAAACAGAAAAGCAAATAGGCCTGGCAGATGTGGATAATTCCCTCCCTACCCAACACACCTTCAGAGTCTTCTGTTGAAAAAATCCATGTCTTTAGTAATGTGTACGCAGTGTATTTTGGCCTCACTTTTGTGTGCTGAAATATCTGAAGATGGGGAAACACCATTCTCCTCTGTTTTGCCCTAATGCTGAAACTCTGATCACACCATGCAACAGGAAAGTCCAAAACCTTTGCAGTAAGTTTGGGTTTGATGCCCCACACAACCTTAATTCAGCTGGTTTACATATACATGCTGTGACAGATGAACATTTCTCAACCAGTATTTCTCCAGGATAACTGCTTGACCCAGTAAGAATGGACATGCAAACAGCTCTTCCACAACCAGTCAAAAAAAGCTAATTTCTAAAACTCTGAAGTGAACCCACAAGTCATGGGCAAACTCCTGTGGAAGGTAACGGCAGAAACTATCATTAACACAATCTGCTCTGATCAGAGCTCAAAGCTGCCATCCAGTACGCACATTATATTCCTAAAAGCCTTGGATATTCGTTTGAGGGTAAAAGAGTACACATGTAAGAGGCATGAGAAGATATACAAGATGCTGTACACTACACGTGAGGAGTGCAGCGAGTATTTCTGGCCAAGAGACAACCCTGGGAGCGCCCTGCTGGCGCGGGCAGGAAGACAGAGGGAGCTCTCTGCACACCCACAGAAATCCCCCTCCCTTTGGGATGGTCACGTCCTGACTTCCCCGACTGCTGCCAAGCTGGCCCGTACAAGCTGAGAATGCCCAGCGCCAGCTCTGCCGCGGTTCACCTTGCCCTGTACGCCCAGCAGAGCCCAGCTCCAGCCCCAGCCCGCAGGCTGGTGCGGGGCAGAGAGGATCGGCACCGGCCGCGTGCGTAGGCACCCCCGGAGCTACGTTTCCCCCGTGGCACGCGTTTATTTGAAGCCTCCAGCTCCAGGCTGTGCTGCATGGAGAGACGAGCTGCAGGAGACGCCGGGGAGCCTGCAGCCATCTGGCCGCCGGCTGTGGCGGAGCTCTCCCCACAGGCCACAGCACAGGCAGCACATCCTGACAGCCATGTAATTACCAACCTGGCGCACAGAGAGCTGTTCCTCCTCGCCGTTTGACCTCTCTTTCCTCCCTACACACACCCCCCCCCGCCCCTCCTGAAAGCTCCCAGCTCCGCCAGCACCCTGCCCAGCCACCCCAGCTAAGCAAACACTGGTGGAAGTGGGAGGCCCTGGAGCTGGAAAGGGGTTGTGCCTGGGAGAAGCCCTGCACTCTACCTCTGCTGGCAACCAGCAGAAGGGACAGATTAGAGCTGAATTAAGTTACCAGCATTAAATAAACATGCCTGGCCTCTTTGAAGTTCTGCTTCCCTTGAACATGAGCTCATTTCGCTCAGCCCCAGGAAGGCATCAGTCTTCATGGAGTTAACTCTTCACACAACTTCTCAGCTCCCCCCAGGCACCTCACCCTGCCGGTACTCATCTGCTGAGGGCAAAATAATCAGTCCGGCATGTGTCCTGCATATTTCCTCAGGTATCCCTGATTTAAGGGGAGTTCCCACCAGGAAATGGAATGGCCTGACTCCACCATTTGGTCCTGCAGGCTGGCACAAAGGGAGGCTTTACTGGAGCTGAAGGAAAGGGTGATCCCTCTGCAGTGAAGCATTCTGTAATCCTGCCAAGAGCAGCACTCTCAGGTCCTGGAAGGACTGTGCTCAGCCCTTCTCCAAAGCAGGGCTGAGGAGTAAAGGAAGAAGGGAGGAATTTAATTGCAGACAAGGAAAGTTCCCAGCACTCCCTTCTTTTGGTTTAAGTGGAAATCCGAAAGTCTGGGGCAGGAAAGGGAGGGGGCAGCCACAGAGAGGAAAGTAAAATACCACAAAGACAAGGCTGATCTTGACTCCACAGCATTTTTGCATAGCTCATGAAAACTCTGCCATTCCCTGTTCTTCCCCCAGTACTTGAAAAAACAGCAGAGAGAGAAGAGATCTGCCTGACAGCAAGGGCTGCCTCTGCCTGGGAGTGGGGAAATGTGACTTTCAGGGTTCACTATTTTTGTATGTGAGCAGGAACTGCACAGTCACTGTCAATGGAGCCAATGAGAGGGGGAGAGCCTGTCACTGCTGCCTGCCAAAAGGGGAAGCAAATGGTTCTCAGGATGGCTCCAAGTTACCAAGGTGTCACCCCCACGATGAGTCGTTATTTCTGGATGCTCTGCTCCCGCACAGCTTCAGCCCCTGCCACAGGGAGGCTGGAGAGGAACAGAGCTGCCTGCGCCGGGTGCCACGCGTCAGACGGAGGTGCCCACTTCACCTGGGAAGGTGGCTTCCACCTTGCTCCTGAAACCTTCCACACCCAGTTTACTGCCAGGAAAGTTCCCACCCAACACAAACATGTCTTTAGCCCCTCATGCAATTCCCAAGAAACACTTTGGAGACGCTGGGCAAGAGCCCCTGACGCCAGGGAACTGCTGGAGAGGTCAGCCACCGGCTGGGAGTTCCCCAGCAGCTTTGCGGAGCCTGCAGGGCAGCGGCAGGCAGGACTCAAACAAACAGCAGGGAGTGAGGGAGAAGCTGGGAACATCAAGGCCAAATGCAGAAATCCAAGACAAACAGTGAGAGTGCCTTTCAGTTCCCAACTATAAAAGAAATCATCTCTACCCAAGGGGAGCTCACAGCTTGGCTTGCACACAAGCCACAGGAGGTGACCTAAAGCAATCTACCCCAACACCAGCCTTGCAGCAAGAGGACAGAACTAGCTCACATCAAGGGACAGCAAGAAAGCACCAGCCTGATGGGTTAGCACAAGCTGACCCTGGATTTTCAAAAAGAACAGTCTCATCAGAGAAATGCCTTCCCTAAATAATCCTTCAGCTCCAGTGGAGAGGTTGCCTTCCTGCTTCTCATTTCATTGCCAGGCATGTGCCAAACTTGCCAGCCAGCAAATGCCAGAGGGATGTGCATGGGGGCAGTGACAGCTCCCCTGGTCCCAAACACAAGTGCAATGCCAGCAAGCTAGAGACACATCTGAAAATCTCAACAGCCAATGCTCAGACCTTTGCAAGGCAGCAAGTTCCCCAATACCGTTCCTAACCAACCACCATAGTTCTAGGAACAAGGCAAGCACAATGTGATTCAGACCTAATTTTCCATTTTCGCAGTAGAGATCACAGCATAAGGCAGAGCAGGATAACTGTTAGAAGTACAAAGAGGCGCAGTCCTGCAACTTAATAGCTCTTATTATTCCCTTCTTATATCCACAAATAGCCCAGTCACCCTATGAAAAAGTCCATATGAATGTGTGTTCCAAAGACGCAGGAAAGACTCCGCAGAAATTCCTGAAGAAGAGCACAGCTCAGCAACGCTGTACAGCACCACCATCCCTCCAGACACACCATCCTACCCATCTTTATGGATGGCTGTTCCTTAGCACCTTGATGCCATTACACTGCTAGTAAGTATGACCATCTGTACCTTTTACCGTGCATGAAGCAGCATAAGAAAACCAGGCAGGGCACCCGGATGTCCTTGCTGCTAGCCTCTGCCTGTTTTGCTGCTCTTTGAGAGACGAGTGGAGGAAGAAGACAGCTAAGCAACAACGTGGGCCTTACCTTTTGTTCCAGGGGGCTGCAGATTATCTCCAGTCAGCGAGCACCAGCCTACGGGAAAGATGTCCCGGGAATCATATCGGCACCAGTAATCGAAGGCACCTCTCCAGCCATCAAATGTTATGAGGACCTCAGAACCTCTCACCTCCCCAATGGTGGCCGGGCAGATGAAGTGAGGGTTCTTCCTGTCCACTGCCTCCAGCTTCATACCTGTCTTGAAGAAGTTTTGGGATGGAGATGGTGGTTCCTAGAAGGAGAAGTTGAAAATGTGCTCAAAGAGGATTATCACAGTGCCTCCCCAGACCAGGGCTGTCCCCTCCATCATCAAACTCACCTCCATGAGCAGATGAAGAAGGGAGCTAGTGGGCTGGATCTGAACCCCAGTAAGGTGTGCACACGTTGGCCTAGTTACGCAACCAAGCGCCATTTAAGTCAAGAGGCCACTAATTCCACTACTGACTGCTCTGCCATCACCTGGCTGCTGGACTAAATCCAGACAGGGCTACATTAACACTGCAGACTGTGACAACACTGTCACGCAACAGAGGCAGAAATAAAGCTCAAAGAAATAAGCCTCTATAGGATACCCTCACCTTGTTATCTCAGAGCAGGAACACCTGAGATATGACAGTCTCTCTCCATCATTCTTCCCCCACCTTCAGCTTTGCTAGACCTCTGAGATCCGACATCCATCCTTATCTGGGGCTCGCTCTTCTTAGTCTTTTATACTTGAGATACACTAAATCCACTCCAACCATCCCATACCACAGCACATACCTCTAGACTGGCTTCTGTCTCTCTCTGACTTCACTAAGAGTGTGAGAATACAAACTACAAAATCATATTTGCAGTGTTGACTCATGGCAATATTTGCACTCCTTACAAGCTCTGGTACATTAAAAAGAGAGAAGTGCTGACTTCCACATATTGCATTCCTGACTTTGAGTAGCGCCTGCAGCCCAAGCAAAAAACAAGCACATCTCTCAAGCCCGACATTTCCTTAGTAGACCTCTGTCTGCATCCTCACACTGCTGCGATACAGCCACAGAGGGTACAGGTCTGTCCGAGAAACAGCACCGCGGCAAAGCTGGGCAATGCTCATCTCCTCTGGGATTAGCATATCTCACACAAGATGCCAGCTGTGATTTTGGTGCTCTGCAGTAAAGGGGACAAGCCAGAAGCATGTCTTCATTAACAGTACAGTAAAATACCTTGTGAAAAATCCGGACAGGAGCCATCTCTGCTCCATTCAGAGTCTTCAGAAGGAACATGGGCCAAGAAGAGGCATTCAGCCGAAAGCCTGTAGAGAAGGAAGCAGAGATGGAGACTTCAAGGCTGTGGGGACCACTGGATTCAACAGCACACACAGGCTCTGATAGCAACCTTGCAGCAGGCGCACACTGTGATCCCATACCACCCTCCTCCTCATGCTGGAGAGTCAGCTTTGACCTTTTCCTGATACTCTGAATGCAAAACATTATGTTGTTGAAAATAAACATCTGGAAATGGATGTTTGACTGCAATATTCCCTTATCATAACAAAAGTCTGTACCCTGACCATACAGGCAGAGCACTTTGTGCAGCACTAGTGCTGGCAGCTTCAGTGATCTTATTACAGGGGAGACATGAATCAGCAAGTGCACACTCAGGCTATGAAATTTCCTCCTCCATAGGGAATCTCAGCTTCTCTGTGGCCTCCTCCACCTTTTAGAGTAAGCTGCAGACAAACTAACCTGAAGAAATAAAGAGGCTGTGACTTGGCTAGGAAACAGATTTAACTATTACAGGAAAGGACAGAAGCTTTTGGCTCAACACCTTCTGTGAAAAAAAGTAGAGAAATAATAGGAAGGGGCTTAGGGGAAGAAAAAAAGCAAACTCACATGCTCTGAGTCTACAGCACTGAGCATGACTGCACAACTGACAGGAGTCTCTAGATATCATAAAACATCCTTGCTAAATGTGCATCTTCCTGCACAGGCAATTTCTGTTGCTCAGCTGAAGAAGGCATTGCACTTTCTGTATTTGCGGTGTTGTGAAGGTAACCCCGGGACCGGACCCAGATGGAGAGCAGCCCACGATGGTTAACATAGCAAAGTTTTGCCAGTGCTGGAATGCCAGAGAACAACCAGCTCAGTGCCACCCTGTCAGTCCTGAAACTCTGTCAGAGCAGCTTGGAAACCAAACAAGCTAGCCACAACAAATTTCAGGGGACAGGAGCACTAAGCTCCCAAAGAAGCAAAGATAACCTTTTACATGAAATATCTTTACAAATAAGGCGAGCAGCAGCAGATGTGTACGTGGAAAATACTACAAGCAACACAGAAAATCTTTGCTGGGTTTTCTGGGCCCTTGCACTCTGCGGGCAGGAAGGACAACTGCAGAACTAGCTGTTTGTAACCTGGCTTTATGTTGAGAGCAAGAGAAGCACTTTTGTCTGGCCCAAGATTAAGCAGGCGATACAGACCAGGGCTGGGCACGCAGACTTATTTCAGAGTTATGAACCCTCTGGCACAGTCAGAAATGAGTTTTGCTCTGCAACTCGATTACACTTATTGCCATCTGCTGGCAAAACCCAGGCAAGGCACAGGAGAAACTGATCAGTGCCAGCTAGGACAAGTACTCACACCTCCTGGGCGGCTGCAGCAGAGCTGTGAGCTGCACCTTGGGACCAAGGTTTCAAAGAGATGTCAGCAAATGGGCAGCAGCATGCATGAAAGTAACATCAGAAATGGCAGCTTTAATGTTAATAGCTGCAGCAGGTTTTGTCTAGAGAAACTATGAAAGGAAAGGGTATAATTAGACTTGCACATACACAGCTTCATGTGGTATGATGTGCCAAAACATGCACCTGCTGATGCTTCTTCCTTCTTCAGAAAGGTCAGTCCCAAGTGTCCCATTGCAATTTAGACTGTACTTCCAGAGCTCACAAATAGTGCTCCGGGAAAAAACATGAATAAAAATATTCCTACCTCTAGGTATCCTATTGAAGGTTTCTTGCATGACTATAGATTGGCTTGGTATTATTTGGGGATATGCTAATTGAGAGAGAGATTTATGAAGCCACTTCAAAAATAACAGGCAGCGGAATGCAAAAGCAGGTTAATCATGCTGCTTAATCAGGAAAGAACCACAGATCAGCTCATCATTTGGCCAGTGTCAAAAAAATTAAATAAAATAAAGTATAAAATAAAATAAAATATAAAATAAAATATAAAATAAAAAATAAAATAAAATAAAATAAAATAAAATAAAATAAAATAAAATAAAATAAAATAAAATAAAATAAAATAAAATAAAATAAAATAAAATAAAATAAAATAAAATGTGTTTAACTGAAGACAAGCCTGGAAGAAGCGCTCGACTGCCCGGGTTACTTGTAAAGCTGCAGCCAAGCAAAGTTAAATAAATAAATGAAATACCGCAAGCATCCCTTCACATGAGACAGGACTCAAATCACTGGGAACCTCTGCAGACATTATGTTTCCCCATCAGATGGGTCTCCAGCTAACCTGCTATTGCCCCAAAGACACTTGGGCACAAATACACTTAGACAGCGTGAATGAAAAGTTAAATGCTTTTGAAACCACAGTGTCAGGATTAGGAGTGATACAGCAGATGCCTCAGCCCTAACTGCTCTCTTGGTTATTCTCTGTATCAAGTTTTACAGATCCCCAGCAAAGCACCTTCACCCAGACACCAGTACTGTGCTCGGCGTGAAGGGGGAAGCACTGACGGGTGGCAGTCGTTCCATGACAAGCCCACCTTCGAGACGACAGCGCTTGCGAGCAGAAGCCTAAAGCAACGGGCAGTGGCCAGAGACGGAGCCATCGCTAGAGCTACGTGCCAGCACTGCCTGCGTGACGTCTCCCAGAAAAAAAACAAACCTGGATTCATTCTGTCCTTACACAGGCAATCACCCAACAAAGGCCATCAGAGTCGCTCTGCCTTCAGTGCTACTGCCCATGTCCCTTGGAGACCAGGACTTCGGAGTGCCCCTTGATTCCTTGTGTGTCCTCTGGGAAAGAGCGGCTCTGGCATTCCTTCACAGAAATGCGTGAAAAATGTCCTTCTCCTTTGAGGAACCCAGGGAGAATTTCAGAAGGCTTAAGAGCATGGTCAGCATGTGCTAATCCTGAGCTTGAGCTGCAAACAGTGCAAGCAGCTCACCTAGGTGCAGAGCTCTTTCATCTACACCCTAAAGCATCTCCCTATCCAGGCCACGATATCCACATGCAAATACAGAGCTGGTGTGGGACCCATCTGTCTGACAGCCCTAGCTAATAGGGCTGGCCTACATCACAGTGGTAGACAGGGGCAGCCCATGGGTCTCTCTCCCAACCACAGAAATATAAAAAAACCCTAGGGTTTTCCCCACAGTTCATGTAGGTGCTTGCTGGACACTTGAACTTCAGCTCACCCAGTGGAGGCTGCAGCATCCCTCCGTTCTTCTCACAGTTTCCTATTGGCTGGATTTCAGCAGAATCCACCAGCCGCCAGAAGTCATTTTTGTTATCGCTGCCATCAAGGCGCAGGCGGAGGCGTGCGCCTGTCAGGCCCACCACCGTGGCAATGCAAGTGGAGGTTGTGTTCCTGGGGTCCTGGGCTTCTAGTTTCATACTGATCTTGAATTCATTTGCAGGGGGAGTGTATGACTGAAAAGAGAAACATAGGGACCCAGTTAGAGCCAGGATTTCCAATATATGCATGCACCACCTCAGTCATAAAGCTTAAGCCCTAAGAGCATCAAAACTGATTCTACTGCAGTCTGACAGTGTCCTCCAAGCACAGCATGGGAGCAGACACCACAGAGCAAAAAAGAAAGTCTGGCAGATCTGTAACCCAGACCACCATCTTTTGGTACTGTATCATCTAGACAACTAGACCTATTCTTTTCTCTTAGCCCTCTTCTTGGAAAAATCACCCAGCTGACCCAAGACCCAAACAGACACCCCTGTGTGCTGCTGCCCCTCCATCCAGACCCAGGTGTACCATGCCAATTCACACCTGTATCCCCTGTACTCAACACGACCACCTCTGTGCTCATGTACCTGATGCCTGGGGGCCTGCTATTCCATTCACAGAGATCAGGTGAATTCTGCAGAAAATCTCCTTGCTGAGCAGGGTCCACCAAAAGATGGATCACAGCCTACCCAGAACATTTTCTCCAAGGGCCTATGCTTGGCAGAATAAAAACATTCTCCTGTTCCCATCCATTCACATCTGAAAGCAAAATCTTCTGTACTACTCTAACATCTGGAGTGTCAAAATGTATCTTTTTTTATCTTTGCTTCAGTGCACTTGGATTTGTATTAAGGTTCCAATATCCTTAAGCATCTTGCTTGCCAAAAATGGGGCCCAACCTAAGCACAGAACTCCTGGGTCACCAGTGGACCACTGCCCTTGACCTTTCCTGTATTCATCCTCTTACCTGCTTGAAGCAATGGGCAGGAGCTGGGATGGCACATGTCTCCTTCAGGTATTTCTCCCAGGTGAAGTGACCTGAGAAGAAAAAACAAAAGAGTCCAGACATCTCTTTTTCTGAGATTTTTGCTCATCAGTTCCTACTTGAATCCTTAACACCAGCAGTTCTCAACTTCTCACAGAGGAGGTGCTCACAGGCAACACATTCTCATCAAGATCCTCTGATGTTTGTGACCACAGAAGATTTACAACTGCAGCTGACAAGCAGAACAAAGCATGGTGCTGCCTACGGCATCTTACTGCCTTCGTGCTGCCGAGATGGGTCTGCAAAAAGCGAGGATAACAACCTACAACTTAATATATAATACCCAGCACAGATGGGAATCCGTGGAGTCTTTCAGGCAACTGCCCCTTAAAAACCATTCGTTAAAATACATTGCTCAGGCTGGGGATTAAAAACAGTCACTGTGGGCTAAATGCAGCCCAAATCAACGGGGAACTGCTCTGTGCTGACTTTACGGTTCCCCTGGTCCAGCATGCAGAGAGCCTGCCCCACCAGCCAGCAGCGCAGAGCAGGATCTGCCCATCCCCAGCAATTAGTGGACAGGTCAGCAATTAATTTCCTGAAGAGGACACAGAATCCATAGCTTGGGCAGGATGGAAGCAGGGATCCTCCAAATGGGGATTTACTGAACCCAACAGTTCACATCCAAGACCAAAGCCCCTTCCACTGAGTGCTGCTGCTAGGGGAAGTGCATTTTATCCTTGTCTGCACCTTTCCCATGTATAACAGGAAGGGTAAAAGCAATATGCCATGCAGGGAAACCTGTTATTAAATGAGGAATTAAAAGCTCCTGTAATCTGAGCAAATCATGACTTTTGCCATTTAAACAGAGCAGCTGGAAAAGGATCCTTCCAGCATGACATTAGCTTGTATTCATCTGAATGGCTCCCGGGAGACCACTGTTTTCAAGTCATTTCAAGAGCATTGGTGGCAGCACAATTAAAGAGTCAGCTACCACTTCCCCTATTCATGTCAAGTTTTTAATCAGTCTATTTTCAAAACAAAAGCTACATCAAGAGCCATTTTAGCTATGGCAGCGCACACCACACCTCTACAAGGTCAGGCATTAAGGTCAGCACACATTACTTTAGTTCTGCCTCGTGCACAGAGAAGAGTTACAGGCTCGATAATCTACTAGCTTCAAATAAATAAAAGAAAGGCTGCTCTCTTGCCACCTCCCGTGCAGATGACTAGCACACTGTTAAATACAGAACAAATGAACATAAAAAATAGTTTTGTTGCCACACTGGCTAATTATGTTTCTGTTTAGAGACTGTGACAGCAGCTCTCCACTCCTCAGAGTACACATTTCCATTCATTGGCATGTATTTCCTTTCCAGCCAACAGTCTCACACCAGGGTGAATGAAAAAATTCACTGATTTACTGCAATGATGCTCTCGCAAAACCAGAATTCTTTTGCTTTAATTGAAGATATGATTTTATACTTGGTTACGCCAATGAAACTCTGTGTGTGAATAATGTGCAATAAATACCCAGGCAGAGCAAACCCAGGCACTCCTAGCAGGGAAATGCCTTATGCATCCCACCCCTTAACTCTGATTGCTGATATGGGCTCATCTCAGACTGGGGTGGCCCTTCAGAGGCCACGAAGCACAGAAGATTCCTACGGTGACAGCACTGGGGCGAGGAATGCAAGCCCCAGCCCCACGACCTGAGCAAACATCTTGAAAAGGATCAGCCGCGCATGACAATTTTATTTTAAAAAAGAAACCTCCCCTCCCCTCAGCTTGTTTCAATCCCTCGCTATTAAAAGTAGTCATTGTTTTAATCCTTCCACTTTTCACTCATTCCACACCAAGCGAGACCGTTCTGCTCCCTGCAGCCGCTCACGCTGCAGTCAAGATCGACGCTGTACAATCCCTGCAGGAGCAGTAAATTTCCGAGACAGCTGCGTGCCTCTAAAAATAGTGTTTGAGCATGGAACTTATTTGAGATTAATTCTAGAGCCTGTTGAGACCCAGCCACCACACGAAGACACACACACAACACTAGAACTGCAGCTACTTACAACTCACGGTTCTGGTGACTTATTTTGCAAAGAAAAGCAGGAGCAGCAGAAAGACTTCTCTAAACACTAAGAAAAGACAGAGCCGATACAGCAGAGATAAGCCTTCCTTCCTTTTCTCTTTGCTATCCACCATTTCTTTACATAAAGATGGCATGACAAGCACAATTAAAGACTGCACTTTTTTTCAGGATTACTCTCTAACCAGGACAAAAACTGCATACTGAAATTGGAGGCTGCCACCATTGCCTTAGCATGAGAGAAAGCCCTGCAGAGAATGTAGGGAATGGTTTCAAATTAATTCAATAATAATATTTAGCTCATGATACAACGTTTTTCAAGCAGGAACTTCAAAGTACACTTAACCAAATACGATCAGCTTCAACCTAAAAACTGCAGGACAGGTTGGGATTTTTTTTACAACAAAGGGAAAACTGCCAATAAAATAGAAAAAAGCAGGAGGCACTTAAGGCTTTTTTAATTAGGGAGCAGAGAACAAGCCCTGAGCTTTGCTCTTGAGAAAGAGCACGTATGGCTGAAGATGGACACATCACACTTGGCCCACTCAACTGTAGCTCCTCTGGACCATACCCAAATCCTGCTCACCACATCGATCCCCACTCAGCTCCCAGTGGATCTGCTCTGGAGCCTCCAGGCCAGGTGTGCTGTCGGCCAGGACACTAAGGCTGCCGGGTGCCGGCTGATGCCACTTTACTCACTGCACATGGAGGCTATAAATCCACAGGGGAAACATTGGGATATCTGGCTCAGGTTTCTCATTAGCACAAATCAACTCTCCTGTATTTTATATTCTCTCAATATTCTCATTCATATTAATAAATTGGATGCCTTACTGTAGAAGGACAGGACGTTTTAGTCTGCAAGATGCTCGTTTCTTATATGGCCTAGGCAGGTAACACCAGAGAATGTTTTCTGATTATTGGTCAAAAAACCCTGGTGGCTTTTCTCCAATTGCCAGTGAATCACTTTGCTTCGTGAAAAAACAGCACTTCAGCCAGTCCTAAAGTGTCTCTTTTACTGGTGATGGACCAGGAATGTCCAAGGACAGAGCTGACTGCAGGGACTGAAATCCTCTCGCCCTGAAAAGCAAAGGGGAACGCTTGCTCTGCTGCTGCTGCTGGCTTCCAGTACAACATGCAAGATGTCCTACCAGTCCTAAAACCACCCTCTATTTTGCCTGGTCTCTGTCTTCTGTGTTCCCTCCTCCGCCTTGCAGAGCACACCATATTCCCACAGAAGGATTATCGTTTGAATGGACTGTGTTCCTCTGTATAACATACATCAGATCTTCTTTACAGGAAGAAACGAGAAGGACACTTAATGAGAAACACCATGTTTTTGTAATTACATCTGTGAGCTAAACAAAAGCCAAGGATTGTAAACCTATATGACTCCCTGTGATTTGGCTGTGAAAATGCCTACTAAGTGTGACTGTCTATCACTTTTGCTTGCCTTTGGAAAGCTCCTTACCATGTGCTTGTGCCAAAGGGAGATATTACTTGCAGACAGAGTGTCAGATTTGGGCTCTGATATCTTAATCTTCAAAAATATTTACTACAAACAAAACATGCCACACACCCAAGGGGTCAAACTACAGTAGTTGTGAACAATGTGACTCTGCACCCTTGTGTTTGGATTCTCATCATGTTGCATTTAATGTTGATCTTTTGCCCAGAATTTAAATGAAGATGGAGTTTCTGTTTATATCTTTAACTGAAGTCTGGTTTGGGCTCCATTAGCATTTCAGCTCCCGAGGGGTCATCAATCCAGCTGAAACGATACATGTGTGTTTCAGGTCACATCTGTGAAGGAGAACGTGCCCTACCCAGATCAAGGCATCCCATTAAAGTCTGCAGCCCATATGTGTGTCTGCTAACGAGCATCAAGGCAGCACATGAAAGCAGCACAGTTTGAGCCAACTCAGTATGAAAATTAGCAGAGTACCGTCTCTGCTTGCAGATCCAAAGGCAACAGTGGCCTTCTCCAACGTCTGGGCGCAGCCTCCCAAGGGGTCAGCTCTCCCACCGTGACAGCTGAGCTCCTGCATGTCCTATCTATTATAATTTCCAGGCACTTTCCTCAGCCATCAATCCGGCTGCACATTCTCCATTGGTAACAGCTACAACCGATAACATGATCCCACTTACTCACTGTCTTGCTCAGAAGAAACGTGAGAACGTGTGAGCCAAAACTAATAGGTTTCAAACACCAGGACTCTGTCTGCTTTGCTTCTTCTCAGAGGTGTCCCAATTCAGTATTAGCTTGGAGCAGAAATCCTTTCAGCCTGGATTAGAGGGTGCTCTGTGCCAGGAAGCTGCCGCAGTTTCACCCCCGTCACTGTGTTCTGTACACTGCTTAGGGCAGTGATGAGCTGCTCTGAGAGCATCCCCGATCCTCGCTGCTACACCACATGCTTGTTGAGCAGACACACACATCAGCCTATCTGCAGCATTTCCTCCCTAGGCCAGCAAGCCCTGGGATGCAGCACGGTGCTGAGGTTGGTGTGCTGGGTTACCATGAGTGCTGATGGGAAAAGCATGCCTCTGAATTTCACAGAAAGCTCCATTTCAGGTCTGTGTTGCCACTGAACAACAGCCAGTCCTCTGACATCTGCGAAAGGTGCAGTGCATGGAGCAGAGGGAAAACTGCAATGGAGCCCAAATACCCTGAATGCTGACTACACACAGGCCATGTGAGCTGTGACAGTGCCCTGTAACGTCACATGGAGCTCAGCACAGGGTGACAGAGGACCCAGGACGTTATTGGAGGTGCTAAGAGAAGGTCCTTCCCAACCTGTGATGCACATTACTTCAGCATAAGAGTAGACAAAGACGGATGAGATGCCCCAAGAGATAAAGGTGAGGGCTGATGGAGGCCACCCACAGTCCAACATGCCCGAGAACCACCACCCTGAGTCCCAGCTCAGGGTCTAGGATAACCAAGCCTCCAAGGCACAGCAGCCACTTCAGCTTTCCCAGAGGCTCTAAGAAACACAGGAGAGCCTTTCATGAAGACAAACATGTGTTTCCTGTTAGAAATTGCTTAATTCAGGCAATCGTTTAGTTTCTTGTTGCTCTGTACTTGGTGGGAAGTATGGGCATCACCTTCTTAATACAAGGGCATGGAGAATATAAGGACATAAGGACATCACCTTCTTAAACTCTGTAAATAAAACACAGGCCCTAGAGTCTTTTACTAAATTATACAAGCCTTACACAAACTTCCTAAAGTTATAAGTCACCTGCACATCTCCCCTGAGAGACAGCAGGAGCTGCCAGTTTTATGAACTCAACCTGCAGGTGCTGTGCACAGGGCCACAGCCCACCCCGCCCATGCACAGGACACAGCATCTCCAAGGGGAGCAAGAAGCGACCAACTCCTGAGCTGCTACCACCAGCCCTCGCCCTGGCACCACCTCTGCTGGGGTAAGGGCCAAATTCCTGCCACAGGGGAAGAGGAAGCCCAGGTCACACCATGTCTCTCCTATAGCAACGAGGACTGAGCTAGCTGCTGCTGTCAACGTGGAAGAGCAGCTCTAAGAGGAGTAAGAGGCTTCTTATGCCCAGGACACATGTGAAAATGTGGGCAGTCACCCCTCGGCACTCATGCCTGGACAGTAAAAAACAGATCTGCTCAAACCCATCTGATTTAAAAATGAGCTGGCTCACCCTTGTGCTTACCCTGGTGTCTTCCCAGCCATTTTTGACTGTGGTCAGAATTAAACACATGAGGACTGTCCAAAAGCAGTTTTTATCTGTAAATGAATTTGGCATGCTGCAGTCTCCCACATTGAAGAAATTCAAAAAGCTTTTAGAGGGAGAAGGAAGGAAGGGAGAAGGAAGGAAGGGAGAAGGAAGGAAGGGAGAAGGAAGGAAGGGAGAAGGAAGGAAGGGAGAAGGAAGGAAGGGAGAAGGAAGGAAGGGAGAAGGAAGGAAGGGAGAAGGAAGGAAGGGAGAAGGAAGGAAGGGAGAAGGAAGGAAGGGAGAAGGAAGGAAGGGAGAAGGAAGGAAGGGAGCAGGAAGGAAGGGAGCAGGAAGGGAGCAGGAAGGAAGGGAGCAGGAAGGGAGCAGGAAGGGAGCAGGAAGGAAGGGAGCAGGAAGGGAGCTTACTTACCTTGGTACTGGGATGGAGACTCTGACAGGCGGCCGTACTTGTGCTTTTTACCATCTTTCCAGTCTATGGCTGAGACAAGAAATAAAGCATTTGTGTCAGTGAAAGAAGCCAGCTAATGCACTCTCTAACGTTATCTGCTCATGCCTCCTGCTTTACAGGCACTTCAGAAGAGAGGAGTGTCCTCCCTGTCATGACCCCAGGTAACATGGATGATTTGTCTAAATCTATGGGGTGTGCTCCCTTCCTCCACACAGCTCACAAGAACACCTGACCTGAGGTATCTGCATTTGCACCTTGGTCTCTGCCTAGTCCTCACCAATTAGTGCTCTCCCACAATGGCAAGCAATAATATACAAAGCATCAAACTGCTAGAGCTTCATCATTTTAACTATGTGAAGAGGTGGCAAGGCTCAGGTGGAGCAAACATGAAAGCCACTAAAAACAGCTCATGTGGATCTTGTACACTGAGAAGTGGAGCCTGAGTCTCTCCTTGTTTATCCATTCCAGGTTATTGCAGCTGGCCTTACTCACACAAACAGCCTCGACCCTCTCTGATGATGGGGAAAGGACTTCTCCAAAAGCCTGCACAACCACCCTTTCCACGCACAACACCAGGTTACAACGTGTCCTGTGCGGCTCATAAAAGAGCACAGCAAAGTAGCTCCAGCACTGAAGAGCATCTCATCTGAGTTGTCTTTGCTCACGACAGCTTTGGGCCTCAGAGTTGCAAAAACATAGTTCCCAAGACAGCTCTGGAAAGTGATAGAGCGAGAAGTGGGGGGTGTCCATCCCTGCTGCTGGCAGCCTTCAGCCCCGCGGAGGGATGCCAGATCAGCGTGCCACAGCAGAGCTCACCCCGAGCGAGCTCCAACACCCACTGCTGCCTGACCGATGCGCCCTGGGAGCGCTGCTGCACTCCAGCTCATTTACTTTACAAAGCATTTTTAGGGCTGTTATAAACAACAATTTGGTAGTGCTCTACAAAACATGCCTTGCCCCCACAAAAAGCAGCTCCTTTTCAAAGAAAGAAAAAAGAAAGCAGGAAAAGTTTTGAAGTTTCCTGACAAATAGCTGAAAGAGGCAGGCCATGAGCTGCTGCTAGAGTGGCTTGGTGGGTCACATGGTGGGTCTTAAGATGTCTGAAATTGCTTTTGGACCATTATTTTTGCAATCTTCTCTTCTTGACATGTTCTTTTCAATACAATGCACAGGAGGACGGCATGTAGGTCTTATCCCTTAAATGAACATGAAGGACATATGGAGCGTGGCCACAGCATCACTGGACATGAAGACAAAGAGCCTCCTCAGACAGACACAAATGAACAAAAAAGATGGAAGGACATACTTCCTATAAATGTATTCCCATGAAGGACAGTATTCTGCTATCTCCTTAAGAAAGAAAGAATAAAGGACACAAAAGTATTTAAGTCAGAAGCAAAAAAGCTCCCCAGGATGGGTAACACTCCTCTCAGTGTGGCAGAGTAGTGTTCTAATAGCATCTGTGCACGCAAAGCAGCCTCTTGCCATCCTCTGTAGGTGAAGTTACATTTTATTCTTAACCTTTAACATGCAAAAATTCTCATTAAACAGGCTGCAAAAGCAGCCGAGAGAGAAAGAAACACAAGAATTTCTGCAGACAAATAAAGAAAAAGTTCAATGCATTATTAAAAAAGCAGGTAAGTAGGACAGAAACCCACGTGTGTGGGATGCAGGTGTTGCTTCTGCAGCCTACGGCACGGCATTCACAGCACAGGTCACACAGCCACGCTGGCCAGAGGCAGCCTGCTCCACGAGGCAGAGAGGACAAGCTGTGTGCGAGGCTAAATTCAGCCAGCCCTGTCCACAGTCACACTGCTGACTAATCAACCTGCCTCTTTTATTACCAAGCCCTCCAGCTGCCTCGCAGCAGGCTCTCCCCATTCCCTGCTTTCCCTCATTTATTTTCACTCCATTAAAGGACATGCAGCGTTAGGAAGAGGATAATGCTTCTGTAAGATGAACCGCCAGAGAAGCAAAGGAGACGTTTAAAAAAAATAAAGGGAGGAAAGAAATCGAGCATAGAAATCTCCTGCAATAAACCTTGTGAGCGTGTAGCAGATGTGAACAAAGAACTGCGGAGGATGCTCCATCCTCTACACTTCTCCCTTCCCCCACCCTCCAAAGCACATGTGATGAGCTCACTCCAGTCGAACACACATGCATGGCACAACACTAAAGGAAATCAATATTTTTGTTAAGCACAAGGAGTCTGAGCAGCTCAGTTGCAGGCAAGCTGCTTGATTTCACCCTTTTTGTTGGGGCAAGCAGGGCACAGGTAGCATGCGTGTGGCTGCCGCTGTGTGTAACGGGACGAGACGCTCAGGCAGTGAGAGGTAAGCGTCTGTAACAGATTTTGTCTCCACGAGGTAGGCTGGTCTTGGGTTTCACGCCTCATTAGAAGGGGGAGGCTTGTGCCAGCGGAGCAGCAGTTTGCCTCACGCTGGGAGCACTAGCAGATGGTGTGTGCCAGGGGCTCCGCAGAGCCCCCTCGCCGCCTGACACTGCGCCCCACAAGCCGCGGGGCTGCGCCCGGCGAGGGACTCTTCCTCCTCCCGTCTCGGGGGTGGATCAGCGAAACGTTCTCTGCACGCTGCCGGAGAGATGAGCAGCTCTGTTTTGAGCTTGCACAAACACACATTCCCCACGTGCCCATCCCATTGCTGGCCTCCCAGTGTGCTTGGTACTTCGGTCCACAGCAGTTTGCTACCGGGCCTTTGGCTGTGCCAGGAGTCACCGCTCACCTTTCTGAGGGCCTGGTTTCCGCATTATATCACCTGCTGCTGTCCTTATCCTGGGACTGGCTTGCTTTTGGATAACTGAAGATGTCTAGGACAAAAGAAATAAACATGAGAAAATTCCCCATTCTAGAGCACACAGTCATCTGCAACATTAACTAATCACACAGCGGGAGAAAATAGATGCTCTTTCACCCTGGGTTGCATAGAACGTCTCCTACTGAACACAGACAATTCATTTCAACCCCCCTGAAACTACAAGTCTTTCTCCAACATGTGGACAATTTCAAATTTATGGCAGCGGGAGCAGCATAAATAAGCAAGAGGAGCATATGCCACAGTCTCTGTGCTAACTCTACATCAGGTCCCGAGTGTGTGCATGGAAGGGGGGGCTGCTCTTGCTCACTAACAAAGGGAGGCAGAGCTGAAATTTATGAAAGAAAACACATGGAAACATAACATTAACTCTGGCAAAGCAGCACCGCAATCCCCAGCTTGCCACTTGCAATTCAAATTGCTCGCAGCAGTTCTGGGTAATAAGGATGAGAAATTGGACAATGACCCAGGAAATATTTTTGCTATTAGTACTGCAACGAGCATCCAAGTTGTACTGAATGGGGTTTTTTCCTGGTTGGAGGAAAACTGGCTAGACTGTCCCTAGCAAAAAAAAAAAAAAAAAAGCATTTGCATTGTTGTTATAAGCAAATGTTACTGAAAATCAGAGCTCTTGGGAGATGCATGCTGGACACATCCATGGAGACCAGTGCTCCGGCACAGCCAGTCTTGCAGGGCAGTGCCTACTGCATGCACCCAGCCCTGCCAAGCCCTGACAGAAAATATCTAAACGAATGGCTGAGCTGCAACAAGCCCTTAGGAAAGCTAGTAAAAGCATGTTTTGACACTACACTAACTAATGAAAGATTAATTGTGTCAATATAACTCCATTTTGTTCACAGTGGGGCAGTCAGGCTAGAGGACGTAAGAGGAAGCTGTCTCAGGACGCAAGGCTGAGTTTCTGCTTAAAAGGTTATTTACAGATCCAACTTGGCATGAAGTTTTGATTTTGAAAACCAGCCTTCTTCCAAACTTAAGAGAAATAGAGTTTAATTTTCTATTAAAAGTGCTACAAACTACAGCCTTTACATGCAGTGCTTGCAACACTGAGCAATACTCTGAGAAGGAAAATACTATAGGAATATTAAATATTAAAGGAAAAAAACCCTAGTTATTTTTCAATCCAAATGAAAAGGGACACAGTACTCTCTTATTGCCCCTCTCATAAATAGTGTGTTTGTTTGTGCATACTTGTGAAAGGAGTAAAGTTTCTTCTCCTTTCAATAGTGGAAGGTAATCTACATGTGAAAGCTTATTTACAACTTCTAATGCTTCTGTTCATAATTTTCTTCAGTCATTTTTATTAAAAGCTAGCAGTCATGGTAGGAAAAGTCCCCCAGCTGTAAAACCCAGGGTGAAAGGTGTTATATAAAGGCACCAGACAAGCATTCACCATCTCTGGCTCTGCACCTTTGCTGTCTGCTCAGCTCCCCTGAACGTGGGCCTTTCTGAAGTACCCAAACACGAATCATAAATCACACACGTTTGGCACAGGACGGGTGCTCCTGTGCCACTCAGACAGCTTTTGAAAAGCTGCTTCAGCCTGAGCACTTCAGAGCCCTATCTGGCAGAGATGTGTAAATCTTCCCTGCAGAGTATTTGGAGGAAAAATTCATGACCATGTATGAAATGCTCAGATACAATCTGTGGAAGGCTGCAGCTCAGGAGGAGAGGTGAAACTACTGCACCCTCCATCCTCACACAGATGGCAATGGGAGTAACCCTAAGTACTTGTCAAGCACACCGATGACTGCTGGTGTCCCTCAGCCAACGCTGTAGTGGGCTCCAGCAAAATCTCATGTCGTGGAAAAGCATGAGACATTGTAAATGTTGCTCCTATCAAAAAAAAAAAAAAAAAAAAAAAGTGATTCTTCCTCAAAGGAGAGCTCTTAGGCTACACGGGGACTCCCACTCTGCTGAGAGCCATGTGGGTGCTAGCCTGGGGAAAGCATTCTCCAAAACATGCTTCTAAGAAACTATCCAAATGAGATTGCCCCAGTCTGACTCCTGCCATCCTTCACAGTCTTCCACCACAGCTTTGCACCATCCAGCTCCCCTGTATGTCCTCACACCACAGGACGGCAACACATGCTTTCATTCTGCAAATTCATAACCTAAAATTTTTTAAAAAAAAAAGGCAAAATAATTAGCATGCTTCAGGGCCATGTAATGCTCAGAGAAGAGCCAGAGCCAAACTCCACGATGAATTGCTTCAGCCTGCCTGCCCTGGCAGCAGCTTTCCCTGTGCAGCCAGATGTGAGCCACCAGCCTCACCGCATCCCAGGGATCGAGACCGGTACCTGCCCCTCTTCTATAGCCATGGACACAGCCTGTGTGCCCCAGCCCTCCTGAAACTGGTATAAGGTGGGCTTGGGAACTAGTAATTCCCACTGGCTCCAATTTCATTCTATAGATGCCCAGAGAAACTAAAATCTCCATCCTTGGAGACATTCCAAGCATCACTAGCTACCACCCTGAGCAGCCTGATCTAACCTGGAAGTTGAGTCTGACTTCAAAGCCAGCCCAGCTCTGCCTGTGGGGCTGGACCAGACAACACCCAAAAGTTCCTTCTGACCTGAAATACCCTATGATTTTATTTCACTGACAACTGATTGGAAGGCAAGGGGAATCGTCCTGTAGGCCTGAACCACCCCAGTGAAGAATACAGACCAGTCTAGAGAAAAGAATGTGAACAGCAGAACAGGCAAGTTAACAGGCAGTGCAGGACAGGGAGAAATACAGTACAGATGTATGTGGTCTTTATGCTGTTCAGGGACTGAAGACTAAAAAAAATAATCTTAAAGTAATAAATAGCAGAAGGTACAGTTTGGTATCTAAGGGGAAAAAATGGTCTATCCACACAGATAGATCTTTCTGAATGACTTCAGACACAAACATACCCCTGAAGAGAACTTGTCAGCTGGGTCAATGGCATGAAGGAGACAATCTTACTTTTGAATCAAATAAAGCATTTGAGATTTACATAGCCCAGCACATGCTGCTATACTCCATCTCCAGAACATGACACGTATACAAAGCTGCATACCGGAGTTAAAACTCCCCTCTTTTTCATAAGCTGTATTTCTCATGCTTATGGATATCAAGATAATCTTGCAAGCATGGATCACAGTTTTATGTGGTGTTGGTTTCCAGAATTTATACCCTGAAAGGACAGATCAGTGTGCAAACTTGTTTCAGCAGGATGCTACTTTAAAATCTAAAATGGCCACCTGATTTGCTGACTTTTGTAGCAGATGAAGTGCCTTTCCCACAGTTTCAAACAACTTCCACTCACCAAGATATCAAAAGTGCCAACGGCTCCACTGAACTGTCATGGGCTCTAGTTCCCCATCATTCCTACAAGAGAGCAAAGTCAGTACAAATACTGCGGCATATCAAAACCTGAAAGCATAGAGACAAAATGAAAAAGTTTGCATTTAATTGCAGAAAGGCTAGGTTACCAGTTGCATTATTCATGTTCATATTTAATTCATTTAAAACATCCAAATTTAAATTTAAAGATAGCTGCAACAAACATTCCCACTTGCCATAGCAAAGCAGCACAGAACTTGACACAATTTTAAGTTCAGCTTGCAATGATTACACGGAACCATAGCTGTTAAACACCTTTGATATGAGTAAGATCGTATCAACTGAGTTGATATAAACTAGTTCAGCTTTTGTAAAATGCAACTATCACACAAAGAAGGATTTAAAAGACTAGACCTGATTAGTAATAAAAAGGAGAGAGACCACAGGAGAGGCATATGAAATAATGAATAGTATGGAGGGAGTGAACTGGGGAATCCAAATTATCCTTTCCACAGTGCAGCAGGGCAAAGTTATAATACTAAAAAAAGCCCCAAGTATATACCAGGGAGAAGGAAATTTTGTTTATTGGAAACTAACAGACACACAACTTCCTCATGGAGGATGTTATCAAAACAAGTAAACAAGTAACACTAAAAAAAGGACAAAGACATTCATAAGCAAAACAACATTTATAACTGTATCAAAGTATGAAACTCACAGGCCAGTGGCACTCACACCTCAAGCAAAAGCTGACTGGAAGGTAGGGTGACCAGCTGAATCCTACCCGTCACATTACCATGTTAGCTGCTGCATTTTGGCAAGGAAAAGTCAAGCACTTGCCTTCCTGCCAGGCTGCCAGCACTGGGTCATGGCTTGAGACAGTTTTGTTAGCACCGCAGTGACCTCCTGCATTGGTTTACACCTCAGATTATTTTTTGAACAAGAAAAGAAAATATAAGGCAGCACAGAGGCAGCCAGGGCTGGGAAGAACATCCCAGTGCCCCCCCAGCTCTGACTGCTGCTCTCTCTGGCAGGCACACCACACACTCCTCAGCACAAACACCGCCGAAATGCATCTTAATCTAATTATGTTCTCCCCCCACTGCTCTTACCAACCAGCTCTTCCAAAAGCTCATCCTTATCATCCCTAAGGGGAGAATAATTCAATTTACCTGTGCCAGATTGGAAGGGGCCTTCAGGGTTATAGGGTAGCCTGCTCTGCAATATTCTTCCATGAAATGTTGCAACTGCAGTGTCAGTAAAACAAAAAGTGAGAAAATATGGGTGGAAGATGCTGTCACATCTATACAGACCTCATAAGATGCATGTAATCTCTTTATCTACAAAGCCCCTGCTTCTTCAGAGTGCATAATTATGAAAAGAGTTAAAGCTGAGGTTCTTAATGTCTCTTCTAGGAAATTCTTTATTCCACTAAAGGCACTGCTCGCATCTGAATTATTTCCTGGGGTTGTTTGGACTTTCTATTATATGAGGAAGATTATGGTGAACCTTGGGATGGAGGCCAAGTCAGTTCACAGTGCTACCATGTTTGACTGAAAGGGTAACTGAAGTTTTGCTGACAGCATGCCAAGCTTCAAACCTCTCTGGACAATGCAGTTGCCAGCAGGCAAGATGTTTTCAGAAAGAAGAGGGAGAAAACTAACAACAGCGAAGCTGAAAAATGGTTTTATTAGGTCGGATACATACCACACAGATTAGGATCATGAAAAAAAAAAAAAAGAAGAAAACTCTGCATATTGCCAGAGGACTGTGAGAATGACGCTTATTGGAAATCCCATGGGACAGCAACAAGAGAATCCTGATGGTTTCTCATAATGCAAAATGCTTGCAGTCATCGATTCTCTTTTGTTTTTTTTTTCCCCACAAAAGCATGGGTCTTGAACACCACGACTGGTCCAGCTACTAAGAATCCCTTCCATATAGCTTCTCCTTCAACTGAGTTTTTCTTCACAGGTATCTTTCCATCAAACACTATCAGTGTTTCCAATAACAAAGAGCTATCCCTTACAAATTTCCTTGGGAAATGTGAGGGCAGCATTCTAAGTTCCTGCCAGTCAAGGGTGATGGCAGTGCTGTCATTTCAGCCTCCCAGCTGCAGGGTCAGGCTGTGCCAGGTTCTGCTTCAGCATCTTTCTGGAAGCCAATACAAGCACCACAGGTTACACAGAAGCATCAGAAAACCAGGCAGAGAGACATGATGAGCAGATGCATATAACCACCTCAGCCTGCTCATTTAAAATCTATTTTTTTGCCATTTCAAATGTCTATGGCAGAGAAAGAAAGGCACTTTCAGTCTACTTGAGAAATTAGAGGACTGCCAGCACATGATTTGAAACACTTCTTCTCTCTTTCGGTTTTCACACCAGACTTAGCTCCTCAGATTTCTTCCTGACCTGCAGACACCATAACTTTTGCTGGTCTAAAATCATGGTTTTCCCCCTCAAAGCGTGCTCTGGTGAGCCAGCCAACTGACCCCTCTTCTGGGTAGAGGCCATTGGCCAGCACACAGCTCCCAACACCAACCTGAACGCCAACCTCCTCGGAGCCAGCCACAACCTACAAGGAGTACTAAAACAAAATGACAAATGTTCACATGGGACCTGAACAAAACTCTCAAGACTGAGTACCTGCAAAGTTTGAAGAGGTGTCAGAATTTATCTTGATCAACAGGTTTATTTCCTTCCACCTCCCTGTTATCATCCTCCTAGACAAGACTGGGATTTTATTTCTCCTTGCCTGTGCAAAGCCATGTTTTGGCAGCTCTGAACAAAAGTTGATGAAGCCATAGCACCTCTGAAAGCATCTCCCCTTGTTAGGTCAGAAGGGTCCTTAAGTTCATACTAGAAAATTTTTCAAAGAAACACTGTAACAATGAATGTTGGTATTTCCATCTGGAGTACTGATCTCCTCCTGTGATCTGAAATATCTGATGGCTGCAAACCATTACTCCTCTTTCTACCAGAGGGATTTTGTGTCATTTCCAACATCTCTCTCTCTCTGGAACTAATTTTATCTTTCTACCATGTAAGAAGTGGACTGATAAACTCCAGACTTAACAATTGGCTCCTCAGAAACACATTCTTGTGAAAGATGTTAAGACACTGAGGTGTCTCAAAGATGTGATCATGAGCAACACACTTCCTCAGGCCCTGAGCCAAGTCTCAGGGGAGAACATATTTTAAGAGAGACAAAAACATGTACAAAACTTGGATAGACCATGTCTTTACAATGAAAATATCAACTTTATGACTTCCTTTTGGACACCTTCAGGTTGGAGGGGAGAGGAGAGGGGTCAACCTCCTAGCAAATGACAGCTGGATCATTGGACACTGCTGAGTTGAACTCAAGGGAAGGCCAACGGCTCAGGATGAGGGTGAAAACCAGGGACCACTGGAAGAAATCACTCACCACAGCAAGAGAGGCTGCAGCAGTTACCACCTCTCATGAATGTGGAGGAAATGAAATAAAACCTTGTGGGATTCCAATAAAGGTTTCCTCCTCTCTCAAAAAAAAACCCAGCATGGGCTTTGGCTCAAAATAGAAACATCTTGCTATATATCACTGAAAGCAGACCTTGCTCTCCACAAAGACTCAAGAGGTTGCAATAAAAAGTATTTTTGCCACACTCCAGGAACAGGATACCCAAGCCCAGATAAATGGGCTTAAAAAAAAAGCCAGGTGAGATACTCTGGCTTGAGTCTGCTGAGAGGAAGTCCCTTAACATGCTGAATCTTCTCAGTACAGAATTTTCTACCAATGAGCCAGGAGTTAAAGCTGGCATGCTCTGCATCTGCCATTTCTGTAGAGAGGGGAGTGAGCACTCTGGCCCTTCAAATCTTCTTTAGAAAGACAGGGGTTGACTGTTGTAAGGAATTCACACATTGTTGAAAAATCAGAACTGCTTTTGTTAAGACCAGTGTTGCTTTGCTTCTTAAAAATACCCACAAATAGAAAGAAAACACCGCAAAACCTAAAGCCTCCCCATGCAAGGCAACATACAATGGTCTGGGTTGGAAGGGACCTTAAAGATCATCTAGTGCCAACCCCTCTGACATGGGCAGGAATAATCATCAAGCAAAGGATCCTGTGCTGCTCCTCCTGGAGGCAGTACAGCGCTCAAGGCTTAGAGCAAAGCCCTCGGCTGCCTTCCATTGACAGGAAGACAGGGAGCTAATCATACATAACCAATCCCCTGTCATTACAGTTAGGGTTAAGAAAGCTTCATTATGCTCTGGAATTATTTCAGCAGATCCCATCATCACTGGTCCTGTTCCTGAACTGACTTTCAGGTTTTGCACCCCCCGCTGTTTCCCCTTGGGTGAGCAATGCCCGTGTACTACATCCCAACGTGAATGAGCCCACCATGACCAATGGCTCGCCATATATTTTCCCAAAGCTCCTTTGGAACAAGCAGCAGGTCTCTGTTTCTGGGTGTTAAGCAGAGACATTTCTGTACCACCACTGTACCTCCAGTGGAGCTCTCCCAGACGCACTGTACCAGAAAACAACAGAGGACTGGCTGTTTGGGCAGGTGAGGCACCTTTTACATGTAGGAAGCCAAGGGACCGATGGACTTACTAAATGCTGTATAGGACGAACATGCCAAAGCAAAAAATTGAATCTGTGTGCTCTAAGCTGATGTTTCTCCCACTGAACCATCTGTTGCAACTATTTAGTGTCAGTAGGACTCACAAGTCAAAAGTTGAAGTTTTCTGCCTTTAGAAGGGGAATGGTTTGGGCTACAGCAGTGGAAGCTATCTAGAGTGGTGTGCCAGTGTACCCACCACCCAACCCACAGACATCACCTTTAAGTAGAGGAGAGAATTTCTCTCACATGAGGCACTTTGTAGTCCTGACTCCATCATATCGTGACCATATCCTGACACGCTGATGGTTGGCAGCCAGCCCACATGCTAGTCTGGCACATACCTGGGCTTCCTTTCAAAGCAATCCCAGGAGCATGGACACATGCAGAGATATGGTGCATCCCAACACACCTCTGCACTGAGTCCTGCATCCCCCAC